CGTTACTAGGCGCGCAGAGAGTTGTAACGATCGATCGATCTCGCCGCACGTTTGAATTGGGCAGTGGGCCGGCCTAAGACAGCGATTTTTAATAATTAATAACTCGCTGACTTTTGCGAAAATTGCAAAATGGTAGAGGACTTTTCGACTTAGTCTAGTCCACTCTATCCCACAATAAGCGTTGATGCGGGTATTACATAACACCCTGTAGAGAACAGTATACGTTAGAGAGAAAATACACAAGGGGATTTATTCATATTATTTTTATTTAAGCATTTTGTCCCATATCATTTCAGTCATATTACAATATATTACAAGTAACGTAGTTACCTGTTTGATGTTGTACGCAGTATATAACTTTATTTTTATATGCCTAATCTTCTAAATTTTAATGCGTTATATTTTAATGTATGAAATCGCAAAACCAACAATCTTTCAACAAACTACAGACGGAGTTTGGAAACATATTCGATCGTTTTACACTCTGTCAGGTGAAATCAATCTTCTTGTGACCTAACGACGTGAATAACAATTCATTACGTTCATTCGCAATGCTCATCGAATTGGTAAAATATGAGTTTTTTTTTTCGTAGATATGTTTTTTACATTTCGCAAACAGCAACCTCGTCAGAAGTGATACAATAGCATTATTAACATATGGCATCGGTGTGATATGTCTAAAAGAAGAAAACGATATGCTGCGCACTTAATTCATTCAAAATAGAAAAATCATTCGCTCGAGGAAGCGGATCGCAGACTGATAACAGAACCACGGCGAGCTCACATTTCAATAATATCGCGGTGAATGTATTTTCTAGACAACTTTGTTACATATCAGAATACAGCCTACAGTTTATCGATTAGGTACTTATCAATATACTCTTAGATATAATAACATTCGGCAGGCTTAAAAATAATAGACATTGCCGTTTAATTTCAATTAGAAAATCTAAAAGAAAACCATTTAACCGGATAGAAAATAAATCTGAAAGTCGTAATGCTCTGTTTCATTATGAAAGATTCTCTCGTGATTATCAATGTAAAATTCAAGAGCGCCGAATACAAGAAGATCAGGTATGGATACTGTCTATTTCTCATTATGTGTCGTCATCTAAAATCGCAACATGTACATTGTGTAAGTTACGTCGAGGAAGAGCCCGTGGCAGTGAACAGAATGGGTATGTAAATATAAGCTACGTTCTATAATAGATTATGTGATTTGATACATTGCTTTTGCATGCATTGTTAATGATATTTCCTTCCGTGTATTTTTTTTTATATTCGTTATATCTCTTATTCGTTTGTATAGTTTAGCTAGCAAGCATAACAATTGATTTCTCATTACGATTAGTTTTCGTGATATGACATGTCAATATGTAGTAAAGTTACTCTCAGGGGACCGCCGAAAGCCAAACCATAATCGTCTTATCGATATAATTCAGCTATACAATGACGTATATCAAAACTTATAAAATACCCAAAACCACCATGAGAGACGAGTCCCCTGACCCTGCATTTGCGCGGCAGATATACCATGTATTCGTCTCTGATATGCGTTTAGAGCCAGACTTGTTATTGGTCGATAATTACGATTAAACGTTACGATTGCAACGTTGTCGAATGGATCTAGCATCGATCTAGCCGACTTCTAGCTTCTATCGGAACGAACGTTGCGATACAATTGTTATTTGAACGCGGGCGGGGGCGCCCGTTGCCCGTTCGTCTTCGACGTGTCCTCCGTCATGACTGTTACCAATTCGCCCACAGCTTTCCCTAAGTCCCCTGGAATAAAGAAAGAAGCCTTTAACGTCCGCCTATTTCTCCGCCGTTGCTCCCGAGGCCCCGAGTTCCTATACTGTTAAACTCTCGGTTTCACAATTAATTGGACAATCAACGTGCATACATTCCAGTATGTACAGAAGGGAAGAGACAAGCGTGGGATAAGTCGAAAAGAAGGACTTGGTCGGAAAAGAAGAGTACAAAGACGCGATCGACGCTAAGTATTCCCGTATTCAGTTATCGTTAGGTCGCCAATGTCATTCGTTGCGTATTAAGTAACGTATTAACTCGATATCGATGTATTCAGACGATTTTTAGTCCCCAGGGGAGAAGGCACAGTGATCTCACCTTACATCCATTCTGTAGCGTGAAAACAGGAAGGCAACGTTATTTTTGTTATGTCAAGCGGAAATGTCACGTGCATTATGGAGATCGGGCATAGTATAGATTGATTATACTACATAATTGACACACGATCGAATTCACATAGACTGAACGAACCTGCCATGTGCAACAGATTGCCCACATTGTGGGTAACGCTGTGAGAATGCGGCGGTGGCGGTGGCCTCTCTAAACTGCTGAGCCTGCCCTCGTTTGAGCTTCCTCCACCTACGTCCGTATACCCAATAGCAATAAGCTTATCTAACATCTCCACAGCGTCTGATTAAATATGTACAGATACGTAAACAATAGGGGTTCTTCGCAATCTATGCGGATGGCAAGATAATGTTTTAACTTTTTTTATTTTGAATAATTGAATTATTACTGTTCTACAGCAGTCAATTTTTCGGTGATTATATCAATTTGTGCGGAAAGCAATTTGAGTGAATGACATTTATCATTATCTCACGCGTATCTACTTGTAATGGAAATCATTGAATCCCTATTGTATCAATATGCAGTTAGTGTAATACCAATAGAAAGGCATATTAGATTCGGTTGTTGCGCATGAGTTACAAGTGTATTTGATGGTTATTACAGTCCGATTGATTGAATGCATTAATAATGATTCCTAATTGAGATACCTAATGTATCGCTCCAGATATTATCGTCTATTTATTTCCCAACAGTTATAATGAAAATTGAGCTGTTTATTAAGTTGAAAGCTGTTTGTTTCATTAGAATATACCTGGAGAATCATGATAATGGCCATTCATTTTTGCTGGGGAGTCGGTCGCTAATTGTGATGCTGTTACACTTCGGGTTTGCAAAGTTCCGGTCTTCGATGGCGAAGAAGCGTTTGGCTAAAAAAGACAAGTCGGATCGATCCATTTTAATTTCTTTACTTCTTCGAATCATTAAAAATAGAAGAGCAAGTATTAAAAAATGCCACACTCGGCGTACCTCATCTAGAAGTTGTCTAAGTCTTTGCAGTTGCGCCTCCAATTGGCGATTGTGGTCCTCGAGTAATTGCATGCGCGCTTCTAATCTTCCTTTATGCTGCCTCAACAGCTTAGCTTCCGCAATCATATCGCAATCAGGCTGCCTGGTACTGTGGCCGTCCTCTGGCGTCGAACCTGGAGTTTGCTTCGAGCGTAATCTTTCGTACTCTGCTTGCAATGTCGCGTTCTCCTCTTCTAATTCACGTATCATCGCCTCGAGCTCCTCTCTTTGCTCGGCGTCGATCGCTGCCATGACTTGGACCGGACTTCTCGGCATGTTAATATTGTCGCCACCGTTGAGACTCTGACAGTAGTGCGCTATTAGCTGGTGCTCGTCATCGCTGTCCGGCGTGGAGTTACTTCTCGTACGCGACAGCTCGACCTCGGCGAGTCGAGAGGCGTACATTTCCAAACGAGAGTGCATATCTTGACTAAGCGAGCTGTGTTGAGGCGATGGCGCCGGGCTTTCCAGCGCGTCTCCTTCCAGGACAGTTTGTACAGGCAAATAGCCAACTCTGGGATGTTTCTTAAAGTATCGTTTGGACTTGAATTTGTTGCGCAACGCTCGCGTAAAGTCGCGCACGTCCTCACCGGAGGTTGTCTGTAAAGTACCAAAACGTATCTATGAAGATCTTTCCTTTTAATAATACTTGAGAAAAATTAAGGGCGTCTTACCGCCGTGCAGTATTCTTGCATCGGATGTGTCAGCTTATGATTCTTTGCTTTGCGTCCTGAGAAGAAACAGTTCTGACACATGTCGAAGTTGAAGCATTTCAAGCAACGGTATCTGAAAACCAGATATTTTTGTTGTTGTCAATACACATTTTGAAAATTTCGCATACCTGTTACATACACCTCACTTTTTTTCACCGACGAAATGTAGTCTCACCTGAATCCTATGATAGGATACTCCTTGCATATGTTACACTTGGCTTGGTGTTTGGCGGTCTCCGCTGCGGATAATCTATGCAATACCGGCAGCCAGACCATACTCTGCGGCTCCTGTTGCAGCCAGCTCAGAAAGTGCACGGCCTCTATTTCGTTCTTATCCTTCCCCGCCTTCTCGAAGCAGCTGCGAACGCTGGGCTCGATATTCGAACCTCCGAATGCCGCGACTTCGCCCAATTGTCTCGGCACTTGTATGCAATCGTGCAACAAAAGTCCCAGTTTGCGTTGATCTACCAGCCTATTGGGATCCGCAATCAAACGGAACAAATCTGCGAATAAAAAAAAAAAATCCCCATTAGGTGTACTTTTAATACATTTAATTCACTTGTCAGCAGAAATCTTTATCAAGTACTCACATCTATACTTCTCTTCCAAATGTCCCTTGCACAACAAAACCAAACCGACTTTGAACGAAAGTACTCGAATTTGACCGGTTCGTTGGCTGAAAATTATAGCGAACAAGTTATTATGCTATACATAATGTTGGGGATTGTCAATATAAAAATTACACCGATCTTGCCCAATTGTTTAATATTAATTCAATAATAATAATTATCTAATTTCATTAAACTGACTATAAAAAAAACTAGAGAAAAGTCTCCTATTATGAGATAGGATCCCAATATGGGATAGCGGTATTTCTGTTAAATTAATAGATGGAATTGATTGATTCCACCATGAATTTATTGCCCTTGGAGCGAAATCTGTTTAGTGGAAAATTCATTGTTAGATCGTGTAATCGTTGCGAAAAAAGATTTATGATTGAATTTAGGTGTTGAAGACCTGCTATCTCGTATCAAAAGCCGATCTCATAATAGAAGACTTTCCTCTATACATGTACTAGGTGTGAATTGGACATGAATGATAACAAAGAGTACATTGACAATATGATAGTTATAAAATACATTCACTTGTTAGTATACCTATCGTATACATTGAGCAGCCAGTTGATGGCCAGGTCAATGCATAGCGGTACGGACACCTGCGTTGGATTGTCTGCTGCGATTACTTCGTACAACGATGTCAGTACTGTTACCATATCGGGGATGTCGATCAGTTTGTCATTCTGTGCCCGAAGTCCGTGTGAATCGAACTGTTCCAACGCGGTGGAAAGACCCAACATGTCCACTAAAAATAACAGAAAAAATATATGTATATAAATGTTACGCCGCAACTATTGTACAAGGAATATACAGAACAGTTATTTATTTCGTTTTTATCTTCAAGGTATTAGGGAGCGAAGATAAATAAAGAGATTCTCGTGGTATCGATCAATTTGCCGAATGCGCGTCTAAATAGCAGCAACCGGACGTCAATAAAACAAGTAATTTCGATCACGCGAGTTGCGAAAATACTCACGGCACAGTCGCTTTTGTACGGTGCGCAGTTTCATGGCGGTTCGGTAAGCGGAAAAGCGAACTTCGTTTAGATCCGCGAGCGAAGACATCAGCTCTATCATTTTCGGATGATCCCAATGCGTAGTCTCCAAATGATGGCTGTAACAGATGTTATTTAAATTCGTACATTTACGCAAAAGTTCACGAAGAAGTTTAATATGACGCGATATCTTCTAGGCTTTAACACGTTCGAATCGAAGAGAAACATACCAGGGTTGGGAAAGTTACTTTATAAAAGTATCTAGTTTTTTTTTGCTAAAAATGTAACTAGTTACAGTTACTCAAAAAGTAATGAAGCATTACTCTTTGCAGTTACTTTCTTGCAATAAAAATATCAAATCTGCATTTGAATTGTAAAGCGTCGATAAAGGCGTTTATGCGCGAATGCAAGGCCTAATGCAATCTGTGGAGGTTTAAAACATATATAAAGTAACTATTAATGTAACCGAGTTACAGTTACAGATGGAGAGAAAGTAACGAAGTTAAGTTAGAGTTATAAAAAAAAAAGTCACTTCCAACCCTGAGACACGCACATATTTAAGTCTTACATAATAGATCGTAACTGAACGTATTGTGCAATAAGTTTTTAGATATTCGAATTTATTGGACTAAACTTAAATGTCCAAGTGAATTGGATGTTTGCTGTTATTTAGATATTCGATTGAATAGAGATGTTTCTTCTAGGAGCACAAGACTCGCGGCGCGTCAGTAAAAGCTCTCGGTCGCTTCAGGAATAACCGTGCAGCACGGTTTGGGAAATTCGAGGTGACTGAGCGAGGAAGATCGATTACTTGATATAGTAAGGCACTTTGGCGGGTGTGAGGGCTCTCTCCCATGGTGGTTCTACGCTGCTCGCGAGGAAAGCCTGACTACCCGGAGTGCTGCCATCCTTCCCGAATCCGCTTAGCAACTTGTAACGCTCGTCAACTGCGACTTGCAGCACCTTCCACCTGCGAAAACACACGAAAAAGTTAACGCCGTTGCGTCCCGAATTCAAAGCCCGTCGCAAGACAGGCTGTAAAAATAAGAGTCTCGCGGTGTCGGGCGAATTTTAAATTCTCCATCCTGATACTTGCGCGGAGTGACGCGGGAAAGGAAGCGTCTCAAATCCTCGGATGGTCGTAAAGGAGATATTTCGCGCGAGTATTTCCGCGGCTCTCCTTATTATTCCGCTAGAATCGTGTATAATGTCTGAAAAATCGGATCGCTCGCATGGATTTGTCATTCGCGATTCCACGTGACATCGTGTACATCGCTGATAGTCGCGTCTTGTCTGGAACTCGGTCGGGAGTCGCGCGATAAATTTTTACGCGGTCGTCAAGTCCATACCTGGTGTTCAGATCTTCGAGTTTCGCCAGTAAAGCGTGAGAAACGATGACGCTGCTCGATGCGAAGACGCTCGCCTGGTCGTTCGCGTCCTCGATGTTCCTCTGGATCGGTACCAGTCGTTCGCCGAATTTCTGCAACTGCTCCAGCAGCTCCGTCGCTTCGTTGGCGTCGTTCGGATTCTGCCAGCCGCTCTGGATCGCCTCGGCCGCGGCCATCCGCGAGGAGAGATCCTCGAGGGACTTTTGGAAGACACATATTTTCTGAAATCAGAACAGAAACTATTTAATTCAGATGTTCATCGTACGTTCAGTATTGTTCGTCGCTCGCACATGGGGGATTATTCAGATGATAATTGCTAATTTATAAGTTGATGTTTACTTATGGTACGCTGGAAAACAAATTTTCGCTACCGTAGCTAATCATGGTTTGCTAAAAATATTCTGCTGTCGTAACTATTTTATAAAGCACAGCAAACAGTTTGCTGTCGCATCTAATGTAATAGGCACAGTAGCAAAGTATTTAGCTGTCGCAATTATGGTAGCTGTCCATATTTTACAACTGAAATTTAGTTTCCGCAAGCACTTTTAGCTACGGCAGCTACATTTTTCGTTCCGCGTAGCTGTATAGTTAAAGACGTCTGAATTATTCTTTTTCAGTATTAATGTATTTCGATAGATGCTGCAATCAACATCGCATACTTGTATATTTATATATTTTATATTTATATGTGATCTCTTTCGCAATTTCTGGTTCTCGGGCGAAAGGAATCGGTTAATATTATTAATTTTTATGTCTCTTAGAAAGTAATGTCATCCGGCGTAAACTTAGACATAAACGATTCAGGTTAGAAAATTATATACATACTTAGATACTTGTTTACCAAATTGATATACAACCATTTGCAAGAATATTCTATTTTCAAAGCAGAAATTTGCTGCTTATGAATTTTTATACATCTTTAAGTTAAAATAATTACTACAACGTCTGCTATATTTGTTCTTTGTTGTAAAAAATATTTCAAGTTATTATCTTTTCGCTTATTGTCACTAAATTACGAGATCGCTCTTAATGGAGTTTAAAAGATGATATTTATAAAGGTCTTTATCACAGAATTCAAAGGGGCGGCCATCTTCGTCAGCTAAAGTTCATCTACCGCGTGAAAGGATTCTACGACAAACAATATTAATCCATTGAAGTTAATGCACCTATTATGTGTGTACATAATCGGCGAAGGTGCGCCGGAGAAGAAAAATATATGTATAGTTGGGCAAATTTATCTAATTAACAAGTTACAGTTTAATTAATTTAAAGCTACAGTTTATTTTGCTGTTATATTAATAGCGATTAAATTAGTATTGCGATAAATTTGGCGGAATTAAAATTAACAGAACAAAGTAGCGAACGTCGCGGCGTCGTAAGAGCTGCTAATTCATTCCTATGCAACGTAAATTGCAATTATATACAGGGTGAGTCGTAAAGGCTGTCCCAACCTTTTACCATAAGGGGTGAATTACCGACCGCAACTGTAGCCAACTCGGGGGAAAAAAAATGGATAAAATCTCGTTCTACGTGTCTCAATCATGTAATATCTAATTACATTTCTCGAGAAAGAATTGAGACGTGTAGAGTGAGATTTTATCCATTTTTTCCCGAGTTGGCTACAGTTGCGGTCGGTAAATCATCTCTTATGGTAAATGGTTGGGACAGTCTTTACGACTCACCCTGTATATACTCATTCATGAATGTTATTCAATGCAATGCACGCTTCATAATATGAAAAGTGCACGAAACATCCAAATTGTTTTTATTGCCGTGAGTACGGTTCAAAGTGATATTCCCTGTATGAGGGGGGAAAGAGCCTCGCATGAGCGGAATATTTGTGAACGGATAGAAAAGTGGTAAGCATAATTCCACGCACGGAATTTCATGGTCGAGCGAGATGTATTTATCGTTTACACCCTTCGTGCGTGCGTGCTCAAAAGCGCGCTGTCATAATCGGATCAAGCGTAACCAAATTACGACAGTTTTAATTTTGTCTTTTGGCTCTCGTGACTAACGCACGTGGTTTGTCATCGAAAAATGGAATCTAATCTCCAATTGAAAGAAACCCAGCAGAGTATTAGACAAATAAATTTTTTTCCTACTCATTTTTCTCTGCATTAGGATTAAAAGGCAGAAACAGCAGTTTGTAAATTAGATACATTAAGTTTTTCCTAACACCTGAAAATAAAGAAGAAAGAAATGTGTGCAAGATCGAGACGACTGTTTTAGTTAAAAAAAAGTTGATTCTATATCTATTCATCAAAAAGGCTTGCAAAATTTGCAACTTAATTACAAAGGCAATTAATAATGAAAATTAACAAGTCAGAAAAATGGGTTTCAATTATATTCGTGTTGCAGGAAAAAGACTTTGTTTCAGACTGATGAAATTCAAAGAGATTGTTACATATTACATAAAAATATCTTATACGATTATTAGAAAACACGGCCAAGAATCGAAGCCAAATGAGTGGCAAAGTAATAAAGACAAATAATTTCTTTGTAGCAAAAAAATAATACTTTCGCGCGGTACTTTTTTCTGGCACTTACGAGGGAGCTTACGAACAGAGAGATATGAGACAATCGCTAAGTACAAATGGCGTGCCCTCTCGGCCCTTTCAATTTTCATTCCTGGACAAGGCGCGGTAACCGGCGTCGCGATAAAATTCACCGGGCATTTATCAGTCGGCGATACGACACGAGAGAGAGCAGAAAGAGCGGAAAAACGGAGGAGGAGGAGGACGGTTGGTCCCACGATGGCATTTGCATTCCAAATAAACGCCGTCGACGGACGCTAAATCGCTCTAATTAGTCGTCTCCCTATGAAAGTGCTTTAAGCGTCCCTTGTTCCGAGAGCAGGATAAGGAAAAAGGCCGACGCGTAAAAGCGCAGTGCGAATGAAAGAGAAAGAGTGGTGGGAGAGGAGAGAAGTTAGGATCTTACTTGCATCCGCGACGAAGGAAAGTGGGATGATCGAATCGATGAAAATGCCGGAAAAAGCCGAGTCCCTCGGCACCCTTTGTTCTTAATCATTTGGAGAAAGAGCGATAATGTGAATGTAAAAAATTATCATTGATAAAAACGTGCAATCGCGGACGGCGGAGGTTCGGGCTGAATCACTTGAGGATAAAGAGCCGGTGTTTTGTTCCATTTTGCGCGGAACTTAATTACAAAGGAAGTCGAATAACTCGACGGATTAGCGACAGATAATCTCTAAAGAATAATATATGGGCTCCGTTTGCACAATATCGTTATGTTGGCATCGTCGCGTTTAGCTTATGCACGGCAACCTGCTGTATTTTGCGCGAAAAATAATTACCGTGATTACTGACCAGAGTTAAAATGTATTACAATTCTCGCGCGTTCATTTGATCATCCGTAAATATATGTATATGTATGCATGCGTGTATACGCTCCATGATAAACGGGTGGTATGAATACTGCATCATCCGCGACGTGAATTGTATCCAACATAAAGCATCTCTAATAACGTTCATGCTAATGAGGAATTATTGAGTTCAATGAAAACGTAATTATTCAGAAACGCTAAAACGCGGTCTCGCGCCGGTCTCGCGTTCGTGCCTCCGCACGAAATCAGTGTGAAAAAAATCAGTGTAACGAGCGGGGGGGGCAATCTTGTTGGCGACCAGATTTATCTCGACGTATACTCGCACGCACGCACGCACGCACTTGGCGTTCCGGTTACGTAAAAAGTACGAGAGTAAGACAGTAATTTGATTGTACAATGAGATCTCTGCGCGCATGGACACGCAAGGACGGAGTTGTTTAATACACCTCAACTGATACGCGTGGCATGCTAAGTGCAATACCCCGCCCGCATTTAGCCGGGAGTTAAAAAGAGCGAATTTTAAAGTAAAAAAATAAAAAAGGCGCGGTGCTGGGCAAATTTTATAATCGCGCTTTCGCCCGGCTTTTACGTAAACGGCACAGTGTGTCTCTGTATGAAACTCGGGAATACAAAGTTCAACTGATCGAGACGCACGATACTATTTCGAGCGATTGAATTAATGCGGTAATTTTTGTGCAGTTAAAAAAAAGAGCTAGCATTTCTTTTTCTACAAAGAAACCTAAGTCTCTTTTTCGATGATACGTACAATTCCGTTAAAATGCAACTCGAAGTTTCATTCGTCTTACATGTTGTATATCTATTTTATACACGAGTGCTGACTTATTCTGATTTTTCTTACTTTTCAGATTTCGAAAAATATGTAAAATTATAGGTGGAATTTTTGTTTGAGTAACTTGAAACTCGGAAACACCTAATATCGAAATAAATAAATCTTTAACTCGAAATTATTAAGCTGATATACAAATAAGCGATCGGGTGCATTTATATACATATATATATACAGTTTTCAAAATGAGGAAAAAGAGTCGGACTTTACGCGCGACGAGTTTTTCAAGTCGCCCGCAATAATTCGCTCGGCAAAGTGCCGCAGGAAGTGCGCGCCGACACGTCGTTGAGTGACGCAGACACGGTTCCGTTTCGTCGTAAATAAAATTACGACGAATAAAGAAAGCGCAAAAAAAGAAAGGAAGAAACGAATGCCGGCCGGAAATGGAGAGGCCGAGAACTCGATTCTAACACTCTCTAACAAGAGTCGCGAAATAACATCCTTCGATTCCGATCAGTTCCACCGTGTTTCAGTGGAACGGTCTGCCCTGGACCGAATTATAATAATTCCGCGAAAGGTCGGTGAGGAAAAACGAGACGTGCAGCTGACGCGGGACGTAAAAAACTGGAATGCAACCAATACCTCTGCGCTAGGATAATTTCGTAATTTTAGCGTGGAATCGAAGTGACCCATAGATTTCTTCGTGTATCATGTAAGCGACATTCGATCCCAAGACACAGGAGGAGAGACAAAAATTCGTACTCTTATCCTTCCTCTCAGAAAGCTCGCGATGCTGCTTTCGCTGAAACGCAGGCACCGAGTGACTTCACTTAGACGTCACTTCGCGACTCTCATTATTCCGGTTCTCCGTTTTACTCCCATGATAAATCGCGCCGAAAGAAATACCGCCCGATTTTCACCGGGAATGACGTGGACGGGTGACGTATTGTGCACCTGGACGTGAACTAATTGGCGGGTCCATCGATAGCGCGGGGCCCGCAGGCCTTCGCGCCCGAAGTCGTCGGGTCTGCCGGAGGCCGAGGCCGAAATAATTTCTCGGCATCTGCAGTGTCATTTATTATGTG